TTGAAAAAAAAAGAAAATAATAAAAACTTCAAAAATTAAAATCCTTTGAGATGTAGTTATGTTACTACATCTACTAATTAGGAAAATTTTAGAACTTAAATTTGGACATGTTTTGCAAAAAAGTGATGAAAAAGTAAAACGACTATATCTTTTGCATACGATGTTGAAAAAAACGTATAATATATCAAAATGTTCAGCACGAAAATCCGCATCCGATTTTGACCGCCGTAGGCCGTTCTGCAAATTTTTAGAATCCTTAGATTCTAAAAGGAAAAAAAGTTATGCTCAAATTTCAGTTTTTTTTTGAATTTTGGTTAAATCTGGTCAAACTACTTATTCAAGAAATATTAGTGTTACTAAATAATTATTCAAGAATATTAGTGTTACTAAATAATTATTTCAATTGGTCAACTTTGGTCAAACTGTGGTCAAACTATGGTCGAACTACTTATTCAAAAAATATTAGTATTACTAAGTAATTATTGTATTTTAGAATAATAGTTTCAAACTCAAACAGTGAAACGGATGACTTCATACTCAAGCTAAACTCCTGAGGGTTAATAGGATTGACAACTTGCTATTGTCAGGAAAATAACAAGTGTTGACTTGGAAACTAGGGGGAATACAACTCAGAAGTTAAGCGTGCTTCAGGCTGGAGTAGTGAGAGGATGGGTGACCAGCCGGGAAGTTAGACGATTTGGAATGAGTGGTGTACACTTGAGCAGTTATGAGGGGTGATTAGAGACTAAATCATGAAATAATTCAGAAAATTGAAATAAAAAAAATCATTTTTTTCCAAAAAATTCAAAAAAAATCCTTTAGTATGGGTTGGTGTTACCAACCGGCAACCGGTACTAAAGGTCCCCCAGACCACGGCGCAGGCTCGTGCCACGTGGTGGGCCTTTGGCCCCGGTTCGTGTTGAATCGGGACTAAAGGGGGGGGGTGCTTTAGTCCCCACCCATTAGTGCCGGTTCCAGAACCGGGACTAAAAGTCCATACGAGCCGGTACTAAAAGTCGTTTTCTACTAGTGTGACCTCGATTCTTTGTGCAATCCTCTGGTTATTCGAATATGCCTTAATGCATTATAGACAATCCTCTGGTAAACAATAGGACCCTCATTAACTGGTATGCTATCTTGGCAGTTGGTATAGCCAGTAAAGTGTTGTTTGTTTTGCCATTCAGATTTGACTACATAGAACTAGGACCCTTTTGTATGGAATTTCTGGATCAAATCAAAACAATCTTTCTGCATCTAAGGACCATGTTGACATGTAGTTCGGATAGTCTAATGCTTACCTTCTTTAGCCTGCATATAATTGCATGGCGATACATTTAGTTATGTCTCTGGCTCAAGAGAAGGGCTGGGCGACGCTAACTAGACTAGTGTCAAGATGCCATCGGGGCTAGCATCGTCAGACCAAGTCGGCATTCTTGCTTGCAAAGGCTTGAGAGAAGAGGTTGGTAAAGAACACGATGTTGCCTTGACGATGCACATGGGTCCATGCTGACGGACAACACAAATAACCAGCCCGTCGTCCATAAAGAAAAATGGGGACAAAAACTTCCAGGCACCTTAACAACGCCGCGACAGGCATCACCGAGACAGGATTGGAGCTGGTGGACCTTTATTCGAGATGACACCGCCATCAGGGTAGGAGCGACGGCGCTGTGAGACCAAAACCTAGTGCACAAAGGACGAGAAAGAGAATCCGCTCCACTCTGCGCCGCAGCGACGGATCGTCGGTCGGAGGCTGAGGGAAGAGGAGATTGCTCTTGTTGGCAGCTAGGGTTTCTTTCTTCTGTTAAGTGTGATGAACTCAAGTTTGTTTTTTTGTCGAAGAAATTGTATAGAATAAATGACTTCATGTATGATGCTTGTCCAAAAGTGGAAGCACCGCTTCTTTAGGTGCAGTGTTGCCATGCATAAAAGATTAAAAAAAACAAGATAAATATTGGTAGGATGTTTGTGCTCAAATTTGACCATGTGATATTGTGATGCGATTCAAACTTCTGCCTGGTCTGACTCCTGTGTGTACGGTGAGGAGTGCAGATCAACTGCCTTTTGTAGTTCTGTATGCTAATGGGAAACCATAAGATGAAGGCCCTTGTGTTTCGCTGAGGTATGTGCATTAATCTTGACTTCCTGACTTTGGTTTGTGCTTGTTTACTGCTCATTTCTCTGCCTATGTAGATTAACTGTTTGTTTTGTTCCTTGAGATTCATATAAAAGTGTAAGGGACAACGGTAATAAATGTGGTAGTTTAGCATAGATAAATGGAATCGTATCAGATTTTGTTGATGCTTATGTTAGTAGTTAGTACAATAGATTTTGTTGATGCTTATGGTTGTAGCTTATGCAATTGTCTGTTTGTTGGCTTTGTGTACGCCTGGCTTTCTGTTATGTCTACAAAAAAACATAGGGCTACAGTATCAGATTTTGTTGATGCTTATGTTAGTAGTTAGTACAATAGATTTTGTTGATGCTTATGGTTGTAGCTTATGCAATTGTCTGTTTGTTGGCTTTGTGTACGCCTGGCTTTCTGTTATGTCTACAAAAAAACATAGGGCTACAGTAGCAGTATAGCCCTATCTTCAAATATTTTTTGTGGGAAGCTTAATAGTCAATTCTGTGGTTGTTTTCTAGCTTAACAGGGATATTTGAGATATTGTTTTGTAGACTAATACATGTTTGGGTTTGTTAACGTGAATCTAGAACAGAAGCATGGCAGATTATTGTTTCCTGCTTCTCCAAAAGTGGAAGCACCACTTTTTTTAGATGCATTGTTGCCATGCATTATAAAAATGACAGGTATGCGAGGATAAACAATGGTAGGATGTGGTTCATGCAGTTTGTGCTCAAACATTTTTTGTTTTTGAAACGGAATAGTTTGTGCAAAAGTTTGATCAATAAGCTGGTCTGTTCAACCAACGGTTGGATGTTTTGCCTTTTTGTGAGAATTTATAGTCTACTTTTCTATCTCTCCCATGTTGTGCTTTTAGTATAAATAGATAGATAAATGATGTGGCCTGGCAATATTGCGCAGGACATGGGTTTAGTAACAAATATGGAACTTTGGCTTATCATTATTTTCAATGTTTTTCATGGCATTCATGAAATTTAAATGCATCATTGGAATTGAGTTTACCTCATGTCAGGCATCAAGTTCAAGATCATATTTGTGTGAAATGCGTTGAAAGGATTCTGACAATATTGTCGTTGGTGATGTTAAGAGTTGCTGAAGAACTCATTGCGTTAGACATTGCTATTCATCCAAGACATGAGAAGCAAATGAGACCACATCAGTTGGCAAGTTTCCACTTTCTGGTTGTTTCATGAGTATTGTTCTTTGCTATGCTGGATACGGTCATGGGTGTTATTGTGGTGATCTGTTTCCTGCTAGTACATTGTTGTTTGCAAGCTTGTATATTTGTAGGTATTGAAGCAACTTTGCTCTTTGTAATGCTAGTGTGAATATAGTTTGCCCAGTTGAAGTATTTCCACTGCCCTTTACACTCACATCACCTTTGTGTTTTTCTTTTCTTTAGAGACTCCTTTTCTGGGTATTCTGTGCATGATTAGAAGCAAAGAACAATATTTGAATTTGGACTGAATTTACTGTAGGTGATATTTCTAGTGTATCTCTAGTAGCTACTAGCTACTAGCTTTATGCATAAAGTTTCATTACTACTTGAATTGGATTGTACCAGGTGAAATACAGAGCTCGATGCCAAAAATAAAGATACCTAGTAAACCTAGGAGAAAGAATTGATGAATAAGGTGCCTATTTGTTCATCAATTACTATGCTTGTGTTAAACAATTAGTGGGTTGACTACTACATAATGGCCGCTGCATTTTATGATCATTATAGTTCTCCACATGTAACTGTCTGCCTTGTACGCATCCCACATTTTTCTTGTCCACCTTGCATGGGGCTTATATGCAACATCAGCAGAAGTTCTACTTCCATTGCCGGTGCAAATTTATTTCTTCTCTCTTATATGATAATAACTAATTAGTCATGTGTTTCTGTAGGCATGTATTACCGTTGAAAAAGAAAGCCTTCCGACCCCATCAATAATCTCTCACTTACTGCAAATACGATTTGCGGTTGGGGATGTGGCAGTGTTACCGAGGAGTGGGACAGCTTGTATGCTCAGAAGGTCCAATTGTTAACTTTGCTTTCTACTCTGCCCGAGCCCGCTCTGAGTTATGGGCTGAGTGTTGAAACTAATATGGCCAATTCTATTGAGCAAAGAGAACAGAAAAAGAGTGACATAATAGTTCTTGATTTGGATGATGATGATGAAAGCACAGGAGCACACAAACAACTGATGCCTGAGAAAAACAAACAGCTCACACCTGAGAAAAATAAACAGCTGATACATCAGAACAGGCTGGTGCTCTCATGAGGGTGGTAATCGAAGGAATTGATGAAGTAAATGAGACAATGCATGATGGAGACCAAAACAGTCAAATTGTTCCATATAGTCCAAGTGCAACTTTAATGAATCAGTATCCTTCGGCCAGCTATCAACCATTAGCAGTTCTGTTTGAGAGAGTTATATTGCAGAAAAGACCTGAGGAGGAACTTATCCATGATCTAGCTGTGTGTACTTTTCACTTGCAACTTTTTACTGAACTACTCCATGTAATGTGGTCCTTAGACTTTTCCAGAATCATGTCGCAGAAGTGTTCAACATCTTGAACCTTTTATGCCCAAAGTTTCTGAAGATAGCAGCATATATCCTATTGTTGATAATGAATCAAGTATCAATATCAGGTTGCAGAGTCAGTAGAAGATGCCCTACTGCATCATGATAACCACGAGAAAAGCACATGCCATTAGAAGTCTTCAGAGAACTAACAAAAGTCGTGCTTCACTACTACAGGGGTGATATCTTGGATGAACTACCTGACCTAGTAGACTTCAGTGTCTTCAGAAAGAAATCGTTCATAAGTTGGAAGCCTATGAGAAGTAAAGAAAACGCAGTAGGAACTGCCCTGTACATGCATCCATGTCTGTCAGAAATAAGTTGATGCTGCAGATAGAGCTTCCAGCTTGACAGATGTAACTGTTGATACTTGATAGTCTGGTCCGGTCTATCAACGTGGCCGATGGTGTGAAAGCCAGATTTTTCACCAATATCCTGGCACTTGTGGAATCTGCGGTAGAGAAGGTCATTGCATTTAGTCAGTACATTACTTCCCATGAATTTTTTGGAAAGTCTATTGGTTAAGACAAGGGGCTGGCAAGTAGGAGAGTTCTTTGTGATCCGTGGTGATAATAAATCTACTTCAGAAGATAGAGAACTGATCAGTTTAACAACTCTATTGATGCAAAAGTCCTGTTTGGCTCTACCAAGGCATGTAGGGAGGGCATCTCCCTAGTGGGCGCATCAAGAGTCTTCATTCTAGATGTTCACTTGAACCCCTCTGTTGCCCGTCAGGCAATTGAGCGGGCGTACTGGCCTGGGCAGCAAAAGGAAGTGTTGGCTCGCAGCAGCTGATTCTCTGGAAAACACCTATGAAACTGCACTCAAGAAGGAGGTGATACCAAAGCTGTGGTTTGAATGGAGTGAGCAGCGCTGCACGTCGGAGGACTTCCAGCTGAACGAAGTTGGTATCGATGACAGTGGGGATGAGCTGCTGGACAACAGGCTGATATGCTAGGACATCAAGGCTTTTTATATGCAAGGTGAAGGTAGGCTGGCTGTTGTACATACACAATGTATATATGGCTTTCCGATCGTTCGAGATTGTCATTGTTGTTAAGTAAGGCTCCTCTAGAACTAAAAGAAAGAGGAAAAATACTTGACTTGGTACCTCTTTACAGATACCTTATATTGGTTCTTATGGGCCTTCTCTTCCTTCAGATCATGGTTTTCGAGTCGCGACTCATGCGAGTCGCTCTGGGGCAGCGACTCGGAAGAAGTCGAGCCTCCGTTGTGATTAGTCGCGACTCAGAGTCGCGAGTCGACACTAAGCTGAGTCGACCATATTTTTGTGACTCGTAGACTAGTCGTCGACTAGTCGTGACTAGTCGAGCGACTCAAAATCCATGCTTCAGATGCATCAAACACTCTACATGTTGAAAGTCTCCCATCCATCTGGGGTCCCATCCAACTGTGCTAGACAGGAGCTTGCACGTATCCCTTTATGCATATGACTCTCTTGCTAATATTTTTTTTTGACATTTTGTTCATAACTGAACTACATTTTATGTTTGTCCTTACCAATCTATGTCTCAATCTTTTCTTTTCTGTTTTTTGTTTTCACCATTTAGTGCATAAGCTCCTTGACTCTTGCTTCTCTACATATATTTTGCCCTTTTACCAGGTTCTGTGAAGGCTGGTCAAAGAGGATATAATAGTAGACACCTAATAGCTTATGCTGTCTTAGAAACTCCTGCCTCGGTGATTTCTGCCATGAAGTCTCTGCAAGGTGACCATAACATTTTTGTCAACCTAAGTTGTGTCTCCTACATTCTAGTATCCTACTTTAATACTAATGTCATTAAATCTTTTGAAGTGTCGTTTGCACATCCTTTGCATCAATATCATTGTGTGCCTAAATTGTGACTCTTATCTAAGTACTTATGATAGTTGTCAATCCTTGTTGATTGTTTCCTTATTTGGTTGCACAACTTTCATGTTCTTACTAAGCTAGAGTTAACATTCTAGAATCTGCATGCACGATACATCCATTTGCCATGTTCTTTTTTGCTATGTTTCACTTCCAATAGGTTATGTGTTTACTTTTTTATGTATCATACATCTTTCCTTATGAATTTATCCATTTGATACCCAGCATCTGGCAGCTAGCTCTAACCTAAATGTTGTGACAAGTGCCTCGTATTGCTACCACTATTTTTCGTTTCTTTAGTGTTTTAGCACATCAAATTTTGTTCCCTAGATGATCAATTTCAGGCTTTCTTCTGTTAGCGTAATACTTTGTATGTGACTCACTATCGTACTATAGTACATATTTTCAAATATGAGCCTACAGCATGAAGTTGACACTTGTTCAGTTGTGGGCTTCAAACAAAATGTGATGCTTCTTTTTGCAGGTTATTTGTTTGACATACATGACAAATACTCGCTCAAATTGGACCTTCAATTATTTGCTGGTCCGAGGTCAACTGATGCATCTTTGTGGGTTTTGGTTTCTTCAATATCAATCTAAAACCTTCAATTTGCAACTGCTTCCTTTGCTTTTGTTTCCTCATGAACGAGAATGGACAACTTGATTGTTTCTTGGGCCTTACCTGATATGATATGATGAGCCTATATTAGAATTGGAATTGGTATTATAAGTTGCATGTTGTATGAGATACTCGAGTTTGTTATTTCATATTGTAACTTATCATGTATCTGCGTGACCCATACAAGACAGTATGCGACAGTGGATCAAACGTTCAAACTTTTTGTGAGCATCCAAAGGTTTTTTATTACAAATCTAACTTATAAAGGATGAAGGGGTAGGTAGTCACAACGAAGGCATCGAGCGCACGGTACCACGCGAAGGAAAAAAAGTCCACCGTATCGCGCCGCGCGTGGGTTGCAGCGCACCACGCGAGCACACCGTGCGAGGTAGAAAACGGCATCGCGCCCCTCGCTCCTCCCTCCCTCGTCTGCCCCAATCCCCTCCCCTCCAACCCTAGCCGCCCCGCTCCCCTCCCTCTCCACGGCGCCGCCGCCTCCTCCCCTTCTGCCCTGCTATCCACCGTGCCGCCTCTTCCTCCTCTTCACTGCCCTCTCCAGCGGCGGCAAAGAACGGCGGCGCTCGATCGGATCTGCTGAAGAGAAAAGATGAGAGAGGGAGAGAGACAAGGAAGGAGAGGAGGGAGAAAGATCTCCCTCATCGTCCTCGTCGCCATCTGCCACTCCTCTGCCGTGCCCAGACCGCGGGAAGAAGCCGAGAAGGGAGGCCGGCCGGCGGCGGCCACGCTCGACAAGATCCTCGCATTAGCCTCAAGGGAGAGGAGGTCTACGTCCCCCGTCCGTGTGAAGGGCGCGAACCAGGGCAGTGGAGGCGCAGGGCGCGAACGAGAGGAGAAGGTTGAGCATCCCGCCGACGACATCGTTTCGAGCTCAAGGTATTAACCTACTTCCTCTACCTCTTCCTTTGCTCAAGCCCAGATTAGTTTGGTTCAGATTTGGTTCAGTAAATTAGGCTAGGGTTTGATGGATTCCACTGATTTATGGTGATTCGTTCCAAGAACAGGATCGATTCCCCTATGCTATGATTTAGGTTCAATCTAATTGGGTAAGGCACACACACTTGTACACAAATTCCCATCTCTTTTCTTCCTACTAAGCCTCAGAGAAACCTACAGTTTGTGGATGTATGTTGAAACAGTGGTCCGAACTTGAAGATGATGAAAATTATATAGGGTTTGCATGGTGCCGCTCTGCCCAAGGAAGCCATGTCCGTGAATGCATTGTGAAACACTGTTCTGAACTTGAACTTACATTTTAGAAATTAGCCTGTTAAGATTTTTTTTCTTATTTGAGGAATGATTGCTAGGATTCAGAACTTAGAACACTTGAACACTTTGCTTTCTTTTCACTTTAACACTCCCATTGTTAGGTAGGAAGAAAAAAACTTGAATTTTTTCTATAGTTGGGCAGGTAACTCCCCTGCAGTTTTAGTGGAAATTTTGTACCGTACTCAGAAATCTTTAGTCATATTTTGCCTGCTGTAAAACTCCTCTGTAGTATACTCTAACATGTTTCTTCCTTCTTATGTGGATGGTCTACAGATACATGCAACAATTGAGGTTTCATGTGCAAGGAAGCAAAGAAGATGCGAGACCGTTTTTCTTTTGGAATAGAAGAATCAAAGGATACACCGACCGAGTCAGTCTGAACTTCGATTAAATATGATATGCGTGTTTACAAATCTTTCCTTCATGAATATTTTGAAACCTTCACATTATGCTGATATGTATTTTCTGGCAGAGCAGTCTTCAACATTGACGGTTACCATTTTTATTTTTTATCTCAGCTCGTGAGATTTCTCTATTGTCCTGACACAAATTTACTCTATATGATGAATCCAAGGCTCAGTATAAGGATTTCTTGATTTATTATTTGCCGCATCTGGTGTTTCTCATCTTAGCATGAATTTGAAGTGTCACCTTTTGCATCCAAGTAATACTATTGGTTCACATTGATCCTATCTACCATGTACCAAATCACTCACTTTTCTAAATACTGATATGGAATTAACCTTTGGTTACAACCCTATTTGGTTTTGAGTTACAAAATGTCCTTATTTAAGATTTTGCTTCTTAACATGTTGCGTTACCAGCACATCCACTGAGGATTTTGAAATATGATAGTACTCTTCCTCTGTTTTCTTTATCTTTTATTTACAAGTTAGTTCTATTGTGAGGAGAAGCTTTGGAAGTGGTTAATCAGTTCAGTAAGATAATTTGAGGTCGACGAGCAGATTGATTGCTCATATATCCACCTTAAGATGGCCACAACGTATTTCAGATTTTAGCACATTAGCTGCCATCGTTTTGTGATTTCAGAAATATATTTCATGTGCTGGATGGCCTCACTCTTTTATTGGGTTGTTTTCAGTTAAAGGTTAGAAGACATGCCAAATAATGGATACTTCTCAATCAAATGAACAAACATGCTATCCGCCGAGCTTCAAGACTGAAGGGATAGATAACCACAACTTCTAATGGTATTT